TACATTCTTTTTTCATAATCGGTTCTAGTATAAAAGCGATTACGGATGGATCGAAGATTGTTGTATAATGAAGAATTTCATGCACATGCATACCAAAGATTATAAAAATAACCAAGAAAATCAAAGAGAGTGCCACATGTGGCCTTGAGACACTTAATATGTTCTTGTGCGCGGTAGTTTCCTACTTGTTATCGGTATTTACACGCATTAATTATTGGCTTACAACTCTTGTAACCATTGAACGCCTTATTATGATTTGATTTCCAACACCAACACCATTGAAGAAACCACATGTGGCAGTCTCTTTGATTTTATTGGTTATTTTTCAATCTTTGGTATGCATGTGCATGAAATTCTTCATTATACAACAATCTTCGATCCATCCGATCCATCGGGAAAAGTTACATTATGTGTCACTGTCTACACAAATTCACTAATCTCAGTGTACAACCGTGTTAATGTCCTTGTTCATTATTTCATTCCATTCATAAGTCAAGTTATATCAGACACTATCCTCATTATTCAAACAGCTCACAGTCGTCAGCGTACAACTGGTGGACAACAAACGTTTATTGATTTATTTAAAAAACAGTTCAAAATACAAAGAGAACACTATGTTACACCGATTATTATTGTTTTAAGTTCAGTACCACAAGCCATCCTGTCATTTACTTATGCTTGTACGGAATTGAAACAAACATGGCAACGTTATATCTTACTCTCAACATACTTCCTATCCTATGTACCACAGATTCTCGGCTTTATCCTCTATGTTCTACCGTCGTCAGCATACAAAACAGAATTTCAACAAACATTCATTGGTAAAAGACTCATAAGAAAACAACCAGTGCGTAGTAATAAGATGGAAATGAAGACAAAAGCAACAAAATCAACTGTAGTATCATAAAATACAACGAACTCAAATACAGTGCACACTACCTCACTATTATACATAGGTTTGCTTTATTTTGTTTTGTTTCATAAATAAATGTTGTAGAAGTCTTCATAGAAAACTAGAAAGAAATTCACTCTCTATGGTAACAAAACTAAATGTCAGTATTTTATCTCATTCATAGGATTTCGTAGAGCTTAGAAAACTGAATCTTCTGGTACCTAAGTGATTATTTTTATAGCTGTGCGTGATAGAAAACTCCGCTTACAAAACAGGCTACTTTCCAGATGGTAATCATATTTATTGACGGAGTTTACTATTTCGGACGTTTTAAAGAAACTTTAACAATACATTTTAATCGAGGCATATCAGTAAATATTAGACGAAATTCCGTGTCTTTTAAGTCTAGAACGAAGTTTTAAAGTTATTCTACAAGGTCAAAAAATCAAAATTTTCCACCCTGAATTTGACGTCAAACGGCAGTCATCAGTGTTACAATATCTTTGCCAACAGCTGCAGATGGACAAAATCAAAGCATCAAATGTTATTGATCAAATAGGTGATATCAATCAATCGTCCGGTTATGATGACAGAGTCGAAGAAAGTGTCAATAATTTTGGTACAGTAGTTAGTGATGTTGATGGTACTGGGTCTGAAGAAGACGAACCTTCATTGAAGATAGGGCTGTGACAATTACCGTTACAGTAACTGTAACTGTTGATTCGTTACCGTTCCTGGTAACGGTAACGGATAAGCAGTTACCGTTACAAGTAACGGTTAGCATATACTTAACAAAGTCAGAAGTGTATAAGCTCTGACGACTACTTCTACATAGATGACAGTTACCAGTTACTGTTACCATCGTTACTCGGTAACGGTAGCTGTTGGACAGTTGCCGTTCTTGGTAACGGGTGATCAGTTACCGCTACAAGTAACGACAACTGTT